TTTAGTTTACATTAGTTAATTTTCCAGGTTTTAATAATGGCAAATCAAGGAACAGTGAGAGCACAGTTTAGCAGAGTTTTTAATGAAGTAGCACAGTTAGGTAGAAAACTCCGTATTCCATTTTTTATGGAACAAAAAAAAAAACTGCTCAGCATTGGTCAACTGTAGATAGTCTTAGACAAAGACAGAGAGAAAGAAATTATAACATAGCTACAGTCACTAGAAGTAACGGCGAGGTTAATCGACTGTCCGGTTCCACAGACAGGCGAAATTATGCTAACGAGAGATTGCAATACCCTAGAGATAATCAGTACGGCAGACCAGACAACACAAAAGCGTACGAGAAAAATCTGGGTCAAGCGAGGTCACAAATACTGAAAGAATCAAAAATAGTGATTTTAATAGAGCCGACAGGTTACGAACGTTAGCAAATAATAGAAATAGCAGAACACAGGAGCAGTGGCATAATTATGGCAACGGTTATCAGAACATTAATCGAGTAAAAAATATCCCTGAGAGTAACCGAGGTCGACTTAGGTCATGTAATCCAGATACCAGATTTCGCAGGAGGAGCACTAATCAAGATTACAGGGCCTACGGTACGACGCATAATCAAGCTAACAGATTCAAAGGAGACAGGTTAAGCAAATTAGGATATAATAAGAGTATAAGAGTATAAGATTGCAAAACTTAGGAAATAATCCGTTCAGTCACTGTGACAGATTGGGGCAGGCAGGTAACCAAAACATGTGCGCTGCTTATGATGAGACAAATAGGTTAGAAGAAATGTTAAAAAACAGAGTGTTAGCTAAATACAGGTCCCAGTGGAAGATACTCAGAGCGCAAAGTAGAGGGAAAGACGGTTCATATGCGCGGCGGAACTATTTACAGACATTAAACCGTAATTCTAAAAACATGACCTACCCCTCACAAGTCAGTGAATACAAGCTAGAAGAGTTTAATGACAGGAATAACAGGGTACGGTTTTGTAAAAATTACGTTAGAGAAGTGAATGCTGTAACAGTAAACGGGACACACTGTCAATACTTTGAAGAAAAAGGGAACATAGAAACACGTAAGAAGTTGATACCGGCTAACGTTAAGTCCGAACAAGATAAAGCGGGTTGTTTGGCAATGGATTGGTTATGGGAAGCAAACGCGGTAAAAATAAACAGACTAGATAGCAATAGCACACATAGTAAAGTAGAGAGAGTAGAGACATTTAAAGAAACAAACCAGCAAGAAGCGTCTTATACACAGGATGTGCATAAGGCTCACGTGAAAGTACGGAGAAATGTTTAAAAAGCGTTTGACAACGTAAACAGTACGCAGACAAAAATGTTGTTTCAGCAGAGTTTAATGTCGGAGATAACGTATTTTTCAATAAACACGTCAGAGAATCTAAGTTTGACAACCGGTGGACGGCCGGATACTTCGTGTTAGAACGTCTTTGGCCGGTAACCTACCTTATTAAAAACCAACTAACAGGACACACCACCCGAGTTCATGTCGGTCATCTTAAATACAATGACACGCTAAACACAGTGTCCGCCGCAGGTAGAGCAGGATACACACAGGAGAACTACTTTAGCATGCCCGCCAGAGACGGACACCGACAGTAGAATCAGTACTGAAAACGAAAGTGACATAGCAAACAAGGGAACATGCACAGAGGGACACGTAACGACTGCGGAGGTAGAACCGGCACCGACTAACAGGTCGGGGAGTGAGGAGGGTTCAACAGTGAATGAGTCTAATATCGCCGATTTTACAGACGCCCCGTTTAGACATACTAGAGCAGCAACAAAAAGAAACCTTAACATAGAAGAAGAAAAGGAAATTAGGCGAGCGTGTAAAGAACGCTCCGCTTCATCTAGCGAAGGGAATGTGCCGATTTTTGAAAGACAGAAAATTATGTCCGAGAGAGAACGTAGGGCATTACTTGAGGCAGAGTCTACTGAAGCGTCAGAAAGCTCAGAGGAGATGAGAAGCGACACAGATAGTTGTGGAAACGCAGGCGATTATGAAACAGATCAGGACATGGCCGAGCCCAGAAGAGGAAAGAGAAACCGAGGGCATACGTCATCCAGTCAGGATGACTGCAACCCTCCGCATAGAAAGAGAGAGGCACGATTAAACGCAGTACAGGTACGCTGTAAAAATAGACATACGGAAAACAGAGAGAACACAGACAACAGTTTTGACAACAAAAAGCGAGGACTGAGAGACAGCATTAGTACTATTAATACAGGTCATACCGATTTGACGAAGCAAGAATGTCTACAGGGAACCATAGACACAAGCAAAGTTAATATATTAGAAGGACAGTTACGCAGAAATAAAAGCAGCCAGAAGTGGCGTAACAAAGTCACATCAACAGAAGATAGCAAAATTAATAAGATGTTTTGATTTATTGCTAACTTATCATTTAACAAAAGAAAAAACACAGATTACCAATAAGACAGTAGAAGAAATAGAACTAGAACAATTAGCATCCACTACAGTTAGTAGGCCAGAGTCACCAGGGGGTAGACTGAATTTATACCCTGAGTAAATCATACATCAATTACAGCCCCCCCCCCCCTCGCTTTCACCATGACTGACTGAAATGGGATCGTTCGTAAAATTGTTCAATAAATGTGGGATTGTACTGTGTATAACAAGTAATTAGTTTCATTGATTACAATTTACATACGCTATATTGCTGTGTACAGAGGTACCGCGCTCGCTACACACATTCTGTTGTTGTGTCTACATGTCATTTGTCCGACAATATTAAATATATACCGTTGTTTTGTCCCTACCATTTAATATTTACATTTGGTTTTGCACTGTGAACGTTTTTTAATCGTGTTGTACTCTCCCGGACAAGTGAAAATCCACACGTTCGGTTGTGGGTGAAGATTACAATACCTACATATTTTTTGTTCGCTAAGAGAGTTACTGGCCACAAAACCTCTCTTATACATTCTGTCAGAAACATGACTGATTTGAGTTTAACCAGACTTTACTGAGGCACACAGTTAGAAACGTACTTGGCGATAAGCCAGTCCAAAACATGACATGATTGGTAACTGAATACAGGCCGGCTATTTCTTTACAGAAGATGCGATATGCATTAAACTGAGGAAGCAACCTCTTAAGGAAGCAACAATAAACGCTGTGGACTATCAAAGTAGATAAATACCTGTAAATACAGGAGGTGGCATTGTACATTCGACTTGAAGAAATGCTACGGTTGTTTCCGAGAAATTTCTCACCAGTTAATATACCTAACAGTATAAGAATTCTTTATACTCTTTAAAGGTTGTACCTTATTATTCAGTCTATGTTGACTTTCTCAGAGATTCTATTTTCATCCTTTCTCGGGGAGATGACATTTTCGAGTTTTACTTTATTGATAACTGGGGATACATGGCATGTCATTTCTTGTTGTAAGTATATGTGTATATATAAGAACTATTTTCAATATATTACAATGTTTTCAGGTTTGAGTTTATAAAGTGGGAATACAGATACTATTCCTTTATACTTCAGACAACTCCGCACATTCATTAGGGATACCAGTGAATCAGAGGTTGTTATGCTAATACAACGAGGGAGTTGTATCGTTTTTTTTATGTCTTTAGAATTATTGACTATTAGTTATTGCATGAATGTCATGTTTTCATTATACTGCATGATTTTATGATGTTTTATGTTATGTTGTATGCTTTCATTACGTGGCTAGATGTTCATTTGAGGTTTATTTAGGTAGCGGGTATAATTAGAGTAGTTTTTACTGATAAAATTGAAGATGGGAAACAATTTTGTTAAAAAATGTGTGGGGCGAATGTAATGAAATATAGGCAGAAAGGGGTTAAATGAACAAAGCATACATTTCAGACCACCACACGGCGTACTAATCCATCACTGTGTGAAATGACAGAAATGGGTGATTAGAAAGCCATGGCCTAGCCAGCTATGCAGAACATCTACACGATAACCGCCATGACATCTGACAGTGAGGGATGAAACATTCGACGAGTGCCCGTGAGCAAGCACATGCACTGTGACCAGCTGAAGAGATACGTTCATCCAAACGTGACCACCAAAGACAGGTGACAGGGGAGTGATGAAGAAGGTACGCCAGAAAGAGCGGGAAAGCGGGAGAATAAAGTCACAGCCAGGGGCTTGAGAAGTTAGTGAGCCCCGGAACCGCTTGAGAGGACAGTTAGGGCTGGACCGCTAGAGAAACCGGTTAGAAGAAAACTAGTGCTGTACTTTGTTAAGAAGGATATGTTAAACTTGGAGTTTAGCTAGAACAGTGATTGAGTAACTCGTAGAGAGACATAAGAATAGACAGTTACTAGATAACGAAGTGTTCATATACTATTGCTTATTAAATTTATGAAGTCTGTGTGACGAGAATATTGTGAATAAACCAGCTCTTGTGTAATTGTTACATCACTGGCCTTGTTCTTAAATACGATTGAAGAGAGCTACGAACTATATTCATTCCCCCTTGGCCGAACTAGGCACATCTATTTCTTGGGGGATGTATAGGCACGACTGTGCTACAAAATGACGACTGGCCCAGAATTTGTGGGAGAAAAATGACGATTCTCGCATATGTGTGGTGCTAATACGACAGAATGATTGTTTTCTAGACGTATGTCATGTTTTCTAGACGTTTGTCATGTTTTCTAGACGTGTGTCATGTTTTCTAGATGTGCGTCATGTTTTCTAGATGTGTGTCATGTTTTCTAGATGTGTGTCATGTTTTCTAGATGTGTGTCATGTTTTCTAGACGTGTGTCATGTTTTCTAGACGTGTCTCATGTTTTCTAGACGTGTGTCATGTTTTCTAGACGTGTGTCATGTTTTCTAGACGTGTGTCATGTTTTCTAGACGTGTCTCATGTTTTCTAGACGTGTGTCATGTTTTCTAGATGTGTGTCATGTTTTCTAGACGTGTGTCATGGTACTAAACTCCAACCTCCCGCTCTTTGCCCGACGCCAGGTCTGCTAGTCTACTGCCAGCAGTGCAAGGTCATCAAGCCGGACCGGTGCCATCACTGCTCGAGGTGTGGAGTCTGCGTGCTGAAGATGGACCACCACTGCCCCTGGATCAACAACTGCGTGGGTTTCCACAACTACAAGTACTTCCTGCTGTTTGTCGTCTACTGTCTGGCCTACTGCATCTTAGTACCGCTGACCTCCCTGCGCTTCATCGTCGCCTTTTTCATGGACGCCTACAACGGGGTGGATATTTCTGGTGACTATAACAGAATTCAGATCATTGTCATGACGGTGTTTCTGATCATCACGGGTGTGGCCCTGCTGCCGCTGCTAAAACTGCACTGGAGCCTGGTGTGTACCAACACCACCACCCTGGAGAACACGCGGCCCCTGGGACTGGTCGGGAAGGCACCGGACATCCGGCTCTTCGATATGGGTCTCTCAGAAAATCTGCGCCACATCTTTGGCCACCGCAAACTGTTGTGGTTGTTTCCCGTGTTCACCAGTGTCGGAGACGGCTGTCACTTCCCGCTGAGGGATGATTTTCTTCTCGACAAGGAGGCGGATTTCAATAAGAACAAAGACTGGTGCCTCGCGGACCAGGGTATTAGCTTATGTGCTGACAGGGGAGAGGTTGTTTTGTATCTGGACAGCGAAGATAGAAACAGAGGAAATACTGTATTGGAGAGGGTCAGTAAAGATAAAAACAGGGAAATGACTGTCTTGGATGGAGAGTGTGAAGCTACAAACGGGAGTAATCATGTCTTGGAAAAAGAGAATAAATATACAAAGATAAAAGTTGTCAAAGAAAGGAACATCGAAAATCCTAACAGAACAAATAATTGCGAAATTCCACCCGACAGAACACTGACATAACACATCAACACAGACGGCTGACAGCGACAGTGAGCCACTTTCTACTGAAACTGGTTAATCCTAATCATCAAAGGTTGTCAGCTCTGGTGGGTAGTTTGCAGACTGATGCTCGAACCCTGGCCTCTGGTTCTGTCTGTGGCGCCAGTGCTGCCTGTGTGCTCGGCGACAGACCTGTGTCTGTCTGGACAAAGAAAGTGAAGTTTTGTCGCCCTCATGTCCCCCTGTCAGGCATTTTCTCTGTCTACGACTCCCGTCAATATACATTGGTGCTCTCAGTTGTGTTAAACTGTGACCGCTTCCTGTTCTATGTTGCCTTAGACAAATATCTGTGGTTACCCATTCCTTACAGGATATCATTGGTCATCTGTTAGCCCATGCTACATTCCTTACAAGATATCACTGGTCATCTGTTAGCCCATGCAACATTCCTTACAGGATATCACTGGTCATCTGTTAGCCCATGCTACATTCCTTACAGGATATCACTGGTCATCTGTTAGCCCATGCTACATTCCTTACAGGATATCACTGGTCATCTGTTAGCCCATGCTTAATTCCTTTCTGGATATCACTAGTCAACTGTTAGCCCATGCTACATTCCTTACAGGATATCACTGGTCATCTGTTAGCCCATGCTACATTCCTTACAGTATATCATTGGTCATCTGTTAGCTTATGCTTCATTCCTTTCTGGATATCACTGGTCATCTGTTAGCCCATGCTACATTCCTTACAGGATATCACTGGTCATCTGTTAGCCCATGCTACATTCCTTACAAGATATCACTGGTCATCTGTTAGCCCATGCAACATTCCTTACAGGATATCACTGGTCATCTGTTAGCCCATGCTACATTCCTTACAGGATATCACTGGTCACCTGTTAGCCCATGCTACATTCCTTACAGGATATCACTGGTCATCTGTTAGCCCATGCTTCATTCCTTTCTGGATATCACTGGTCATCTGTTAGCCTATGCTACATTCCTTACAGGATATCACTGGTCATCTGTTAGCCCATGCTACATTCCTTACAGGATATCACTGGTCATCTGTTAGCCCATGCTACATTCCTTACAGGATATCACTGGTCATCTGTTAGCCCATGCTTCATTCCTTTCTGGATATCACTGGTCATCTGTTAGCCCATGCTACATTCCTTACAGGATATCACTGGTCATCTGTTAGCCCATGCTACATTCCTTACAGGATATCATTGGTCATCTGTTAGCCCATGCTTCCTTCCTTTCTGGATATCACTGGTCATCTGTTAGCCCATGCTACATTCCTTACAGGATATCACTGGTCATCTGTTAGCCCATGCTACATTCCTTACAGGATATCACTGGTCATCTGTTAGCCCATGCTTCATTCCTTTCTGGATATCACTGGTCATCTGTTAGCCCATGCTACATTCCTTACAGGATATCACTGGTCATCTGTTAGCCCATGTTACACTCCTTACAGGATATCACTGGTCATCTGTTAGCCCATGCTTCATTCCTTACAGGATATCATTGGTCATCTGTTAGCCCATGCTTCATTCCTTACAGGATATCATTGGTCATCTGTTAGCCCATGCTACATTCCTTATAGGATATCATTGGTCATCTGTTAGCCCATGCTACATTCCATACAGGATATCATTGGTCATCTGTTAGCCCATGCTACATTCCATACAGGATATCATTGGTCATCTGTTAGCCCATGCTACATTCCATACAGGATATCATTGGTCATCTGTTAGCCAATGCTTCATTCCTTACAGGATATCATTGGTCATCTGTTAGCCAATGCTACATTCCTTACAGGATATCATTGGTCATCTGTTAGCCAATGCTAACTCCTTACCGGATATCATTGGTCATCTGTTAGCCCATGCTTCATTCCATACAGGATATCATTGGTCATCTGTTAGCCCATGCTTCATTCCATACAGGATATCATTGGTCATCTGTTAGCCCATGCTTCATTCCATACAGGATATCATTGGTCATCTGTTAGCCCATGCTACATTCCTTACAGGATATCATTGGTCATCTGTTAGCCCATGCTACACTCCTTACAGGATATCATTGGTCATCTGTTAGCCCATGCTTCATTCCATACAGGATATCATTGGTCATCTGTTAGCCCATGCTACATTCCTGTTCTACAGTACGTCTGAATGTTTTCCATGATCGTCATCATCGTGGCGGTTGGTTGCTGGCGGTACTCAACGGTAGGCAAGGCCACACGTTTTGACGAATCCATTTTTTTTTCAGCGCTACTATAACAGACATTTTGTTGTGAATATCGGCACCTTTGTTTTGGGGCACTTTTTTTTGAGTACAAGTAGCGTTAAAAATAAAAAATGAGAAGCCTTGATGATCATGAGGTACATCATCATGACAATGAGCATGGTCAAGATCATCGTTTGTGTGGCTGATCTATTTATTTAATGACCCTAAAGTGGAGCGAACCAGTCATACACACAACAGTGATTTTTTCTTTATTCTATGTTGGCGTTTTTTGTCTCTTAGCTTTATACTTTTCTGTTTATTTAATTTTTGTTTAATGTTTTTTGATGTTGCTTTTGATACTTTTGTTTTACATTGTAATGCCATCGCTTATTCGTATAGGTGACATATTTAATGTTCATATAGTTGCTGTTCTTCTGTCCAGTGATCCATCTATTCATCTGTCCACTGATCCTCAATCAACTAATCCATATGTTCCTCCGTCCACTGATACATCTGTTCTTCTGTCCATTGATCCATGTGTTCCTCCGTCCACTGATCAATCTGTTCCTCTGTCCATTGATCCATGTGTTCCTCTGTCCACTGATATATCTGTTCCCCTGCTCACTGATCCTTCTGTTCCTCTGTCCACTGTTCCTTGAGTTCTTCCGTCCACTGATCCTTCGGTTCTTCCGTCCAATGATCCATCTGTTCCCCTGCTCACTGATCAATCTGTTCCTCTGTTCACTGATCAATCTGTTCCTCTGTCCACTGATCCATCTGTTCCTCCATCCACTGATCAATCTGTTCCTCTGTCCACTGATCCATCTGTTCCTCTGTCCACTGATCCATCTGTTTCTCTGTCCACTGATCCGTATGTTCCTCTGTCCACTGATCCATCTGTTTCTCTGTCCACTGATCCATCTGTTCCTCTGTCCACTGATCCATATGTTCCTCTGTCCACTGATCCATCTGTTCCTCTGTCCACTGATTCATATGTTCCTCTGTCCACTGATCCATCTGTTTCTCTGTCCACTGATCCATCTGTTCCTCTGTCCACTGATCCATCTGTTCCTCTGTCCACTGATCCATATGTTCCTCTGTCCACTGATCCATATGTTCCTCTGTCCATTGATCCATGTGTTCCTCCGTCCACTGATCAATCTGTTCCTCTGTCCATTGATCCATGTGTTCCTCTGTCCACTGATATATCTGTTCCCCTGCTCACTGATCCTTCTGTTCCTCTGTCCACTGTTCCTTGAGTTCTTCCGTCCACTGATCCTTCAGTTCTTCCGTCCAATGATCCATCTGTTCCCCTGCTCACTGATCAATCTGTTCCTCTGTTCACTGATCAATCTGTTCCTCTGTCCACTGATCCATCTGTTCCTCCATCCACTGATCAATCTGTTCCTCTGTCCACTGATCCATCTGTTCCTCTGTCCACTGATCCATCTGTTCCTCTGTCCACTGATCCATCTGTTCCTCTGTCCACTGATCCATCTGTTCCTCTGTCCACTGATCCAACTGTTCCTCTGTCCACTGATCCATCTGTTTCTCTGTCCACTGATCCGTATGTTCCTCTGTCCACTGATCCATCTGTTTCTCTGTCCACTGATCCATCTGTTCCTCTGTCCACTGATCCATATGTTCCTCTGTCCACTGATCCATCTGTTCCTCTGTCCACTGATTCATATGTTCCTCTGTCCACTGATCCATCTGTTTCTCTGTCCACTGATCCATCTGTTCCTCTGTCCACTGATCCATCTGTTCCTCTGTCCACTGATCCATATGTTCCTCTGTCCACTGAACCATATGTTCCTCTGTCCACTGATCCATCTGTTCCTCTGTCCACTGATCCATATGTTCCTCTGTCCACTGATCCATCTGTTCCTCTGTCCACTGATCCATATGTTCCTCTGTCCACTGATCCATATGTTCCTCTGTCCACTGATCCATCTGTTCCTCTGTCCACTGATCCATATGTTCCTCTGTCCACTGATCCATATGTTCCTCTGTCCACTGATCCATCTGTTCCTCTGTCCACTGATCCATATGTTCCTCTGTCCACTGATCCATCTGTTCCTCTCTCCACTGATCCATATGTTTTTCTGTCCACTGATCCATCTGTTCCTCTCTCCACTGAAAAGATTATCTATAGGATAGCTCCTGTATGTTCTTGAGCAGTTACACGTCTACTCACTGATGTGCTTTCTTGGCCAGAATGTGTTCTTCTGTTTGAGAAAGAAAATGTTCTGAAAGTTCTCTCAAGATGTTTTTGCCTTCCCCTGGGTTATACTGTGGTCCTCGATTTTTATTTTAGCCAAAGTCCATTCAGGGTCTCATCACTTTTGGACTGGGTTTAGAACCTGCCTCTGCTAGGTCGCAGGCACGCCGGCGAGCTACTGCGCTACTTCGGCTCAAGATCTAGAAAATATCCAGTGAAAAACTTTCATTAAGTTTAATTTTGGTTGCCATGTTTATTTGCCTGTACGTGTTTTGAAGTTTGCATTTAACTTTGACATAAAAAAAAATATATATATATATAAGCTATGGAACTAAACTTGTGCATTTACTCATGGACTCTTTTCCTTACCACTCTGCTCGAAGCATCCCTGTCCTCACCTTTTTCAGCAAGCTTTCAGAGTCTGTTACAATGACGACATGTGTATGCATCTTGTTCTCTAGCCACCGGAGAGCTGCAGTTAACGCCTACACCTACATTCGAATGGTAGATGTTGTGGTGTCATATGCTAGGCTGTCTTGCACTAAAGATTTTCTATT